CTATGGGTCGGAACCGACTCAAAGGCACTTAACAACAACAACAACATAGGCTGCTGGCTTCCTATTTCATTCAGTGGGCTTTGATGCTATTAAGTGATGTCAAGTCAGTATAGTATAGGGTTTCCAAAGAGTGGCTGGTGGGTTTGAACTGCTTACCTTGTGTGGTCAGCAGTTCAAACTGACAAAGCAAACCAGTGCTTATCTGTAGTGCCACACCAAGACTCATCCTCTACAGTACGGACAAACTGACAGATGAGTGTGAGTTAGTGGGCTATAGTCTTGTAATTATTATTTATGTTGATGCTCAAATTGTCATGGCCCCAGGCAGATTTCTGGGTCCTTTTGATTATGTCTCATCATTTTTTTGAGTACTTCCCTTGCTTCTGGCACAACAAAATTTCAGGTTTGTCTTATACTCTTCCTCTCTACCTCACTCCTGGAATCAGTTCCTTCTCCAAGGAGTCCTAGTGAAAAATCTATCATAGAAGCCAAAGTTTTCACTATTGATAATATTACAGCTCCCAGGCCCTCCCAGTTGACGAAACTAGAGAATACATAATATGTACATACATGCATACACGCACACATACACCATTATTTATTTCTATCTTTTTCAAATCTGTCAAAAATGTAGTTAAAATAACTAAGTTCATATCTTTAATTCCAGTCCAGCACTACAAGGTTCATTCGAGTTTCTGCCTTTCCATATTTACAGCTCCCTTATCTAGTAATGAGAAAACTGGTTCCTTTTATATTAGCCTGTATCTGTAGGAAAGAAGTCCTGGTGTGGCGCTGTGGGCTAATGCACTGGACTGCAAAGTTGGTTTGAACCGCGAAGTTGGCGGTTCAAGCTCACCAGTTGCTCCTCCGAAACCCTATACAGAGTTGTTATGAATTTGAACTAACTCGATGGCACTAACAACAACAACACATCTGTAGGAAAAGAACTGGACTGAAAAATCAGTTTGAACCTATCAGCCGCTCGCTCCATGGGACAAAGATGAGGCTGTCTGCTCCCTAACAGATACACAGCCTTGGAAACCCTTTACAGGGCTGCTTTGAGTTGGAACTGACTTGAAGGCACTAACAATAACAGCATATATTTACTTAATTAATCAGTACCCTGCATGTCACAAATCTCCTTTCTCTGTAAAAATGGCCTTCTCACTGTATCTGGGCTCAGATTCTTTACAGTGGACCTACCCACATGTTTCTTACCTGGCTTATGCCCACAATGGGCGATCTCTGTGAAGGGTGTCAATCTCTGTGAAGGGTTTGGGCTCTTGTTAAGACTACCACTAAATGTGGACACCCTTCACACCTTCTGTGGACTTTGACATCTTATGCCAGATTACTCATCTGCCTTCCCCTCACATCAATGTTCTCCTAATCCTGCTCAGGTTCCAACATCCTGTTCTGGGTTTAAGTGGCAACAGACTGAATGGCAGTCTGGTTCACCTAATAATGTTTTTAGGAGTAAATTGAGAAAGGAAGGGGAAAGAAAAAGGAGGACTCTGATATTTATCAATATTTGTTCCAATTGTACTAAAAACTTACCGTGAATAACAACTGCTCAGAAGTGATAGACCTATATATAACCCTGTTCGTTGTAAAGAGCATATACTTTCAAAATACCATATTCTCATCACAAACCTAGCTTTTTTAAAGTAGAGGCAGTATTTAAAAGACTCCCAGAAGATTTTATCAATGAAACCTTTAATTACAATACATTTCGTATTATTTTACTTTCCAAATGAGAATAAAATCTAAAATGTACACTAAAACTACAACTCAAAAGCCATTATTGTTCAGCTAAATCTTGTATGCAAAATGGATCTTAGGGTGTTTGTTCATCTTGGGAAGATGAAATTTTAAACTCAAAAGTATTCTGAATTAACAAGTCTCTAAAGTTTAAATAATTTTAAAGGCTAAACCACACTAAATAAGTAGACTTATGACTATTCTATCTGAAACCAACAATTAGAAGATTATACTTTCTAAAACACAGCCACATCTTGTTTTAAGGAAATAGAACATACAAATATTTAGAAAAAATATACATATAAAAGGATTGACCACTGATTCCTTTAAAAAGTGATTTCTCTAAACACTATAATAAAATCCAGATTAGACACATTTTTTAAATAAAAATTTTTAAGGATAAATCAAACTACACTAGTATAATCAAAATGTACCACTTAAAGAGAAGAAGATTCATTTTGATTCTAACTATTGTATCTTCCTATAACCAACAAAAATTGAGTTTTGAATATATGACTTTAAACAATGAATAAAAAGAACATTTGAGCTATCAAGAAAAAGTTTGATGAAATGAAAATCATTTATCCTCTTGAAGAGTTGTTATGCTGTAAACTTTTAAAGAGCAAATATCTCATTTAATTACCTTATTAATTCAATTGCTGGAAAAACAATAAATCTATTCATACTTACTCCAACTGAAGATGCTAGATCCATCAGATGTGAAACTTACATTACATTTATGGTACATACCATCAGGGTCTGATATTATATCCAGAAGAGATTTATCCAGAGTAGTTTTGCTCATTATTTTTTCTTCACATTCAAAATACACATCAAGTTTTCTTGCCTGTTCCACAATAAATACTTGATTAGAATACATAAGGTAATGAGTATACTAAGGGTCTCTCTGCTTACAAGTTTATATATTCTATGATCAATTTTAAAGGCAAATGTTCATTTCCTACTAGAATTTATTTTAAACTTTCTTACTTTTTATCATACGCTTAAAATCAAGCCCACTGCCACTGAATAGATTCCAACTTATAGTAACCATACAGGACAAAGCAGAACTGCTTCTGTAGGGTTTTTGAAGCTGTAAACTACAGGAGCAGATTTATCTTTTCCCTATAGAGTGGCTAGAAGGTTTGAACCACTGGCTTTGTGGTTAGCAGTCCAATTCTTACCCAGTTGCACCACCACTTTTCTACTTAATGTAGAAAGAATAGATTGACTACTTCATTTACTAGGTCTTACAAATTCCTACAGGTCTTACTTAGTGTTTTTTTTTTTTTTAATGTTTTATTGTGAATTATGTGATAGTTTACATGGGAGAACATTAGTTTTACATTCATCCTATCATATATCATTTCATTGCCATGGTTACAGGTCTTACTTATTCTTGATGGCACTGTAGAATCAGCATTGCACTGCAAAGCACAAGGTTGGCAGTTCAAAACCACCAGATGCTCCTCTGAAACCCTAGACAGGGTCATTATGAGTCAGAACTGACTTGATGCCACTTTAACTACAACAACATTTTACAAATTCAGAATTAGATCTGCATATCACACATAAATTAGAAAAGCAAAAAACCCCAAACCCCACAAATCTTCATTATTACGCTCTTCGTTGTTAAGAGCTATGAAGCTATGACGTGGATTCAAACTCATAATGACCCATTATAGGCTTTCCAAGGAGAAGCTGGTGGGTTTGAATCACCAACGTTGCAGTTAGCAGTCCAGTGCTTATCTTACAGTGCTGCACAACTATGCAACTAGCATATAAATCACATTATGTTCCATGCAAAGTATTATAAAGTGGTCGTGTAATGTTTACTTTTTTTTAGTATACAAATCCACATTTCCTTCTACCTTAGCAGAACAGAAAGATCCATTAGTTCAGTTAGTTCCATCATGCTTTATAAAGCCTTTTTCTTCATTAATTTTTCTACATAATACTTTGAGTTTCAGATAATGGGAAAGTAGTCAAATCTATCTTTTCTTTATGACTTCTTTTGAAAATTTCTTGGCTAATTTATCCACACAAAATAAATCAAGATCCTCCAATATAAATAAAAATTATCATTATCAAGTAGCTAGTAAAATATGCTTCAGAGACTATTAAAGAGAAATGAATATGTTTTCTACTTGAAGCCATTTACAATCTAAGCAGGAGTAGAAACCATTTATGAAATAAATTAGAATATTTAGAAATAACAGCAAAAAATATATAGAGAACATAAACAAATAAAATTGTGCTAAGAACAGAATGAAATAATCAATTGTGGAGGAAGTGATGAATTTTTAGTTGAGTTTGGCACTGATTTGGGGGCATAGGTAAGTACTGAGTTCATTTCAGTTAAAAGGATCATACCGAGACACAGTCAGATTGGACGCATCTGAAAGGGAGACTAAGGAGTGGATTTTACATATGGAGCAGGAAGAATTCAGGGAAGGGTTCCTCACACCCACTCCCTGTAAGCTAGAGTTTTAAACAGATTAAACATGCAGATCCCAAAAATCAAAACAATACAAAAAACTGTATGTACTATAAGCTTCATTCTCACCCATCCTCTTCTACTGAATTTCTACCTATCCCTATAGGTATTTTCTAGGTTATGTCTTCCATTGTTGTTTTTTCTTTAATGCAAATACAAACTAGAATCTATATTCTAATATATCTCCCCTTTCTAACACAAAAGGCAATATACCATAAATACTCTTCTTACCCATGCTTTCACTGAGTAATATATTCTGGAGACTTTTTTCCATCAGTGCATAGGGAACTTCCTAATCAGTGAGCTCTTGGTAATACTATACACAAAGAAAACTTCTAGAATAGTCTTCCTTATTATAAAATCACTGGCCCTTCATATTTTTCACGCCCTGACAGAGAAACTATTTAGTTACTATTTTAAAGGTACTTTAAATAGTAAGATAGATCACAGTTCAAGTTTCAGGAATAAAAAGTATAATACAAAAAAATGGAAAAAAGAAATATACAGGCGATCCTAGGAAGGAGATCATGGTAGGGTTTCTGAGAAGCGGCTGGTGGGTTTGAACCACCGACTATCCTACAGCACCATATTAGGACTTCATAGGAAGCAACATGTCAAGTCAAAATATCATTCCTGGAGAACCAGGATAATGGTGGCAATTGTTAAGTGTCACTGAGTCAGTTCCGACTCAGTGACCCTGTGTAGGGTTTTCACGGGTTTTTAAGATCTTTGCAGGAGCAGAAAGTCTCATCTTTCTCCCTCAGAGTGGCTGGTGGGCTCCAACTATCAACCCTTTGGTTCACAGTCTAGTTTGTATCTTATGGAGCCACCGAGCTATGATGGAAGTAGAATATGTTAATGTGATTCTTAAGACAGGGAAAGGTTAATTATTTGTAGAGTGAAGGCAGGGGAAGGTGGAAGAAAGGGAGAAGGTGATAAATTAAGTTGATGTTAGATCCTTCAAAACTGGGTCCAGTCAATCTATTTTATCACTATTCATTAGGTTCAGTTTCTTCTAGTTACATCAAATAATTAACTAACATTGTGTATGCTTTTTAATCTTCTAGGGTTAGGCTCAGGTTATTCTCTAAGCATTTTTAGAATATATTCTTCCTTCATCATCGAGGTCCATCTGACTTCTCTTTTTTGCAGGTTCCCTGCCACTCTTTCTTAAACCTGCTGTTCCGTTCTGCTTCCTGCCGTATCCTTAACCTCCTCTTTGGCTGGAAGAATTTAATACTTTTTAAATCTGTATACCAATTCTTTTTGGAATCCTGGCGTGGTACTACAGGATAGACACTGGACTGCTAACTGCAAGGTTGGTGGTTCAAACCTAACAGCCACTCTTTGGAAACCCTATATGGAGTCGCTGTGAGTATGAACAGATTCTATGGTACTTAATAACAACAGCACTTTATATAGCGTTCCTTAATTGCACTGGAATTTGCTCATATGTCATTCTTCTAAAACTATAAGCTCTCTAGACTGTATCTAATTAACCATTTAACCTTTGGGAATTCAGTATCGCGCATCTGGCACATAACAAGTACTTGATAAAATGTTTGCTGGATTTCTAAGCTAAGAGCAGGAAATATTATAGATCAAGAAGTGAACATCAAGAAGTGAAAAATGTGAAGAATCAAGTTTTTGGTGATTTAATACATAAAATTAAATATGGTAAATGCGATATAGAACTATTTTATTTCACAGAAAAATTTTAAATAGCTAAGTAAGATACATACTAGAATTTTAAAAATTAACATCAGACCTGGATATACAATAAAAGTATGTTTTTAAACCAATTTATGTAGATGATTAATTTTCTTCTTCTAGATGTATTACTTTACTCAACTATGATTGCTAATAGGGAGCTTCTTTTAGAGATGAAGAAAATATTCTAAATTTTGTTGTTGTTATGTGCCATGGAGTCGGTTCTGACTCATAGCAACCCCGTATAGGGTTTCTGAGGCTGTAAATCTTTACAGGAGCAGAAAGCCTCATCTTTCTCCTGCAGAACAGCTGATAGTTTCGAACTGCTGACAGTGATATTAGCAGCCTGATTTGTAACCACTATGCTACCACAGCTCCTTATTTAGACTGTGGTAATAGAGTCCTGGAGTCCTGATATGGCACTGTGGGTTAATGCGCCAGACTGCAAAGCCATTTGAACTGCAAGGTTGGCGGTTCAAGCTCACCAGCTGCGTCTCGGAAACCCTATACAGGGTTGCTATGGGTCGGAATCGACTTGATGGCACATCACAACAACAACAGAGTCCTGGTGTGGCACTGCAGAATGAGCATTGGACAGTAACCACAAGGTCACTGATTCAAAACCACCAGCTGCTCCTTGAAAAACCTATACAGGGTTGCTATGAGTCAGAACTGACTTGATGGCACTTATCAACAACAATGGTTGTATAACTGAGCATACCAAAAATAATTAAATTAGTGGATAAATTGTACAGTGGGTGAATTTTATCACGATAAAGCTGCTAAGAAATTTAGTCAGAATTTCAACACAAGGATTGCGATGTAGCATGATCTAAGAGTAACAGGGGTGAAGTACAGATTTTTGAACCAGCAATGGAGAACTGGTGTTTGTTTAGCAGATACTGTGCGCTAGCCACCTTATGTACATGTATGGCTTTCAAATGTTTTTCAACTGATAAACCTCAGGACCCACTTTCTCAATCCAAAATCTGCAGAAATCTAAACGTAACAGATATAAGTGACCACTCAATGTTTTCATAGAGCTTTAGGATTCCAGAGAACCAGAGTTCAAGTTTAAAAGTTAACTCAGGTTATCTCATTTAATGCTCCAAATAACAGTGTGGGCTAGGAATGATTAGTCCCATTTAAAAGAGTAGAAACAGACACACAGAAACGTAAATTTATTCAAGGTTACCAGAGTAGCAGTAGTAGAGAGTTGAGATTCAAATCCAGATCAGACTCCAATGTACACCACAGAAAAAGAGTAGGGAAATAATAATTTCCTCAAGAACAATTTTATTGCTTCTTTTGCAAATGCTTTATGAAAGAAATCATAGTTGTTAATTAGTACGTATTTGTCTTCTTTTTAATACACATAATTTATGTATACGTGGTAAAGAGTCATTTAGACCAAAGATTTAATATCTACAGATACCTTTTCAATTTCTGGAAATAAAGGTATTTTCTTAAAAGAAGTATCCTTTAAAAATTTTTAAATAGATTATATAACATGAATTTAAAAGACAATATAATTTGGATGACAAGAGGACATGGATAATAGGCAAACTAACCAAATTAACAAAATAACAAGGTCAAGACAACAGATAAATTGAAATTTTTGGTAGCTTCAATGAAAATCA